TCCCAAGCTGCCTGCCACCAGAAGCTGGATTATTTTCACTCCTTTTTGATCCGGTCCACAGGCAGCACCGGAGCAGCTTGCAGCCACTTTGGGACATGTGTCATTTGAATGCTGCACGCCCACAGTGGCTGGAAGCCACTTTATTTGGCCTGTGTGTGTTAGGTCTTACTGTTCAGAATGTTGGGAAGTGTTTCTAAATTCCAATTGATTGGAATCTGTATTCTGATCTTAGTTGCTATGGTTGATTGGTCATTTAGTGGGCAGCTTTTTGGTGTCAAACCTCTCCATACTTAGCTGAGCAAGTCCTGAGACAACAGACATGCATTCTTCCACTGAGGCTATACTTGAAGCCTTCCCTTTGGTAGGATCTGTCAGAGCTTGTGGTCTGCTGGCTCTTGACAGGACTGAAGCTCATCTCCATATTATGATGAGTAGGACTTTGTGGAGGTGGGGGAATAATACAATTAAAATAACTCTGTGTACAGCAGTAGTGAAGCAGCAGTTCTTCTATAGAGATCTATGATGTGTCTGCACTTGGAATATTATTTCTACAGTTGCCCCTTTGTTTTTGTGGGGGATCTGTTCCAGATACCCCCCATGAAAACGGAAAACCGCAAATATTCAAGCCCCATAGGTTTGAACGGCGGCGCACACCCATGGGTGCCTGTGGGTGCGTGATGTGGGCATCTTCCCCATTTTGTCCCCCTCCATTTGCCATCCGCGAATAGACAAGACAAGGGATGCAGACTTGAAGTCTGCAAAAACGGAGGAGCGTCTGTAGTTCTTGTCTCATATAGATCACATTGTTGATCTAGTGCTGAAAAGGGCATCTTGGCCCTGAAACAGATGGGCGAAAAGGATCAGCTTCTGGCCACTTTGGGGGTGTGGTGTTCAGATAACACACAACTCCAAAGTGGCCAGAAGCCATTCTGAGGTTGCCAAAGGTGACCCAAAGGGGCCAGAGAAAGGAGCAGAGAAAAATGGCTCCTGAAGGCAGCCAGCTTTAGGATCACTGTGGAGGCCGTTTTCACAGAGGGCCTTATGGTTGCTGCGGTAAGCTGTTGAGCATCTTCCCTTTTAGGAAAATATTGGAGTCTTTTTGGTTAAGAAAATTCAAAAAAGACATGATAGCAATCCATATAATTATGCAGTATAATGAGAATTATAAGATATTCTCCCTCATCTCCTGGGACAGTTGCAATTAGGGAACTAGGTGAAATTGATTGTTTTTGGAGTCAGGATTAACAGGATCAATTGCTTCTTCACACAATGTGTAATTAACTTAATTTACTGCCACAAGAATTGGTGATGGCTAGGTGATTTGAAAAAGGAAGTAGACAAATTTGTGGTATGAATTTCTGTCAACAACCATTAGCCCCAATGGATAAATAGATGTTTTTAGTTCAGATATTTTATTCAACAGAATAGCCTTCATCAGGGAGAAGTGATGCAAGAGAGATTTTGCTTGCATGCCTGGCTTATGGTTTCTTAGAAGTGTACTGAATAGTTGTCTGTGTGGAAGTAGAGTACTGCACTAAACAGGAAAGTGGACTTTAGTCTGGTCTAGTAGGGTGTTTCTTATATTTAAAGATAACTAACTTTACTACATTTAAATCTCACCTTTTTACTAAACAGCATAAGGAGTCCAATGTTGTCACTGCAACCACTTTATAAGTTGCTTTCTGAAGCAATGATTGGCTTAGGATCTCTCAATGAAGTTCATTTATTCAAATCCAGGCCTCCCTGTATTATATCCCTGTGCTATGATTTTGTGTTTGTGATGGGAAAATGAAATTATTCTTACAAAAATAAACATATTCTCTTTGGGAAAGATGACTGAATGGATTACTGATTATTTGTGATGGCTGAGCTCCTTTTAGCTTGATTTGGAACTGGCTCAGCAGTTACAAGCTTCAGTGGCAAACACTCAAATTTTTTGTTTTTCCTAAGTTCTAAATTGACTCATATATCATATTACTTTGGAGTTATATCTTTTTGTATGTGTCAGAGACTTGGGTTTCAGTGAGGAAGTAGCTGTGCAGTTCCTAAAGTCTCACCAAGTCCTAGGAAGCATCACAGGCCAAATAGCCTGTAGCTTATACAAAGCCTTTTAATGTATTTACTTATAACTTTCCCTTCCTCTTTATATATATTTTACCTGCTTAGGTCTGACCTTTCCAAAGGTAAAAGCTGTCCTTCCAAACACGTTAGCATTAAATGCAAACATCTGTTTGGCTTTTAACATTGATCCTTGGCAGAGGAAAACATGTTGCTTCTTCATAAGATCAAGGTAGAAGCAATGAGAGAGAAAACCAAGTACATTAAAAAGCTTTTGTATATGCTATAGCTATTTAGGCTATGGACTATGTCAGCTCTTCATATAAGCTCAACAGTTGTTTAACCCTTTCTCCACAAGAGGTTTAGACCTTTCTAGAATATTTCATTCCTAACACACCAGAGTATTTCCATCTTGGATATCTAGCAGCACATCTGGATTTCAGTCCCTCCCTTCAATCTCAGCCTTCCATGTGTCTCCAAAACCAGCTCTGGGGAGGTTTCAGAAGCTTTTGATGCAGAATTGGAGGGTACATAGGGGGCTTCAGGACAGAGAGGGGATCATCACTTGGTTCTGTGGTCAAAATCCGTTCTATCAATGAAATTACACTGTTGGATGCTACTTGATGTTTGACAGTGTTTCTGTTTCTTAAAATGCAGTTTATACTGATTATTCTGAGCATTTGTTGATAAAAAGTGATGGTATAACTAATTAACATCTTTGAGCATGTGCCTTTGTGTATCGTAAAGAGCGAAGAATGAATAAATGTACATCATCCCTCATGGTTTGCGGACTTCCCGTTCATGTCCCTCGGTCTTTCGCGGACGGGAAGTCACAAGAGACAAAATTGTGCATGTGTATGTGGCACGTGTGCAGATGGGCATGCACCACCATAATACTCAATGGGTCTCCAATATTTGCATTATTTCCCATTTGCTGGGGGGGAGGGTGCGGCAGTCCGGAACGGATCCCACACAAACGGGGAGGGATGGCTGTAATTATTATGAATAAAAATGTAGGGATGGAGGTAAAAGCCAAGTAAGTCTTTTCTTTTTAACACAATGCCTGTTGGCAGAATCAAGATAAGCATGTTCCTCCATGTTTGCTCACTTCCTAAGCTCAACTGGTAGCTATACCGACAAGAGGAAAAATCCTCATCTTGGGTCTGGAGGACTACATAACAAGTAGTAGAGGGCTCTCTTGAAAATCTTACCTGAATAGGACCATAGAAGTGTCACATTATATAAGGCGGGAGCCAAAAATTGGCAAGGTTTTCTCAACATGTTTTGCATAAACTATTAAAAACCATAAAATGAAATGCATTGAATTAATTATTTGCTGTAAGGCAGGGAAAGATAAATTTACCCATCCTTAGCTTAAATTAATAGCAATTCAAATAGCCATAAATGAATAATGGTCCAAATTATCAAAACAATTTTATCATACAATCTTCTCAAGTAGTTACAGATAATGGTTGACAGACTGGTTGCTTCAAAGCAGATCATGTTTCATGCTTTCTTACACTGTGGTTCATGACTAAAGAAACAAGCACCAAGGAGCGCTATGTCACCAACCTCTTGTAAAATGTTTCCTTAGGGGGACCATCACTTCTGTCTCTGTTCTTGGTACTTAGAATTTCAAACTGTTAACATGAAGTACTGTAGCCAATGAAAATTATTATTCTTAGAATTAACAGGTAAGATGTCAGGAATAGAGATACTATGGATCTCAGCCTGCAGCAGATTATAAAATTCAGACTGTCCAAGATTTTTTGAATCAATAGTTTATAAATTGGAAAATTTGGATAACAAAAATAGGAGCATTAACTTTCTCTTTCATGAAGGGGGATGAGGGGCTGATGTCATAACTGAAATTTGCCCAAGCCCAAAATTACAAATGAAGATATTAAATAAGCATTCAGGATGTTTAGTCTTAGATCATAATACGGCAATCAGATACAGGAGTATGTTTCTCCAGGTACTGTGTACTATGCCCTGAACATCATTCCTAACACTGAAATTTAAAAGAATATAATTCTAATATTTCAAGACATCAATGCTGAGACTTTAAAGACAAGAAGAGAACTGCATCCTGTTAGTAGCAAGTTTAGAGATGGGAATTTGGTATTAGTGGGGATTGTACTTCAGTTTGTTAATTTGTTAATAAAACACTTGTGTGACAGCAAACATGACATAAACAGAAATAGATCGTAGTGAAGGTCTGGATATACCACTTCTGAAAATATCAGAATCACCTTTCTCCTCTAAGAAAACAGGCAATAAGCTCTCTACCTAGGTGTCAAGGTGGCAGACTGACAAAAAGGAAATAACTTCAGATTTAGTTGCTATATTTAGAGGTGTGGCTGTTATCAATGATACTACTTCAAGCAGTGCATCATTTAATGTAAATAATAATAATAATAATAATAATAATAATAATAATAATAATAATTTATTTATTTATATCCCGCCCCTTTGAGATCAATCGGGGCGGCTGACAACAATAAAATATTACATAATACAAACAAGTTAGATTCCCTCCTCCCCTTAAAACATTATTAAATCGAGTCAGCTGAATCTGTCAGTCTACAGGACAAAGTAGCATGGGCAGCTGTGTAGCTTAGTAAAAGTTTACACAAGCAGTGTGATTGTGTGGTAGTATGTTTATCTAGCACTGTGATTGGTAATGGAATGGTTCTTGAGAAGCTTTGTGCTCTCCTGTCATCCTCCCCTTAATGCCATCTGTGGAGCTGAATAAGGGCCAATAATGTGAGAAGTTTTTTTTTTTTTGTTTCATAGTTTTATTGATTGCTTGGGAATTGCAGATTGGTTTATTCATTTAGCCTGGATTTATACAAGAAAGGGATGGGTGGTGATGGTTATGGAAGGATCATTATTGATATATTGGTTATATATTTTTTTGTAACAATAGTTTTTGTGTGAGAGTCAGTGTGCTGTAGTGGTTTGAACACTGGACCAGGACTCTAGGGATCAGGGTTCAAAATCCCGCTCAGCCATGGGTACCCTCAGGGTGACCTTGGGCAACTCACACTATCTCAGTTTTAGAGAGAGGGAAAGACAAACCCACCCAGAACAAGTCTTGCCAAGGAGACCCCATGAAAGGTTCACCTTAGGGTCACCAGAAACAACTGGAAGACACAGAACAACAACAAGCTTTTGTGTAAGCATTCTAACTAAAGAAATACAGTTCGTTAAAATTTATGTGGTTCTGTGTTAATGGACGTGAGGTGAGACTGGGAGAAAAAGAACTGAAAAATAGATTAAATCTTAAAAAACAAAACACAATCCTGAACCAGTTCTCATTCAAATTGATTTGAGCCATTCCCCCCAAAATCTTTTGATGTGGTTGTCTCAGGAAAGATGATAGGAAAATTTATGTCTCTGTCAGGAAAGGGCTCTGCATGTTTCATCTTGAAAAATGTTACATGCCAATCCAGTCTTCATCCAAAATATGAATTCCATGTTTTATAGGAGCCAAAATACAGTGTTGCCTGAATTTTGCACTAATCAAGTGCAGCTATGGAAACAGTGTGGCACAAGCATGATGTATATTGGGACATTTGAATTTACATTAAGTGGATCCATTAAGGGAGAAGAAAATGGCAGTAACAAAGATGGCAGAGATCTTATTTGCCCCTGAATACAACTGTAGCATTATAAACTAGTGAGAGCCTCAAAGTGCTTCTCTAACCAACACAACAAGAAACCTTGGAAGTGGAATGAACCAGGGTCATAATCCAATAAAAGATGTAGAAGAAGCCACTAGAATCTGTTTTTTTGTGTCAGATTCCAACCATGTCAAAATGTGGTCTGGAGGCATGAGAAGACAATTGTCTGACAATGGATGAGAGAGCTAACAGAGGCCAGCCTAAACAATACAGATGCAGTGTTTCAAATCTTAGAACAAATTGCTGAGAAACAAGTGGTCAAATACAATTTAACCCACTAAAAGAAAAAGTGGATTTAATTGCACATAACCTGGAACAAAATAATGGATCAGTTCTCTATCCTAGTGCGCTGTTCCATTAAAACACAGAAACACTTGTAATTCCTGGAGAACTTGCATAGATCAATTAACTTGAAAGTAAGTGTCTGAATACTCAAACCGAGAAAAGGAATCTTATCCCTATGGTACTGCAATTGCTAGCTGAACTTTTTCTAGATTGTAATACAGAAAGATGTTTTCAGTGCTCATCATCTATCTAGCCCCTGTCAGACACAAACAAATGGACACTGAGGTCCATTTAAGCTAGGAAAACACAAAGGATGCCATTACGGAAGCAACAAAAGCAAAAGAGCCATTACAATATCTCAGTCCACAGATGCTCAAAACCCATAAAACTTTTCAGATTTTGCACAGAAGCGCTTTGGAACTGAGGCATTGCATACAGTTGCAGATTTCCAGCTAAACTCCTGCTAGTATGTAAAGGTAAAAGCATCCCACTTTCAGTCTTAAGCATAGCAGAACGTTTATTGAAAAAAAGTTGAATTTCTCAGAGGAGGCTTGGCAGCAATGTGAATCCAATTACTACTGCAGAAGATGCAATAAACCACAGAATCTGCATGGATCAAAAGTAACAGCAAGAGAAGCAAGAAAAAATTAAGTCAATATTAGGCAAATGATCTGAAGGTTCCCTGAGAATTGTGGTTTCTCTCTCCCCCCTTCCCTCTGAAACATTTATATTATTATCCCTCATTGTCAATCCATTGCCTTCTACATTCCCCATTCTTTATTGTTTCTTTTTTCTCTTTCCTTTCCTCCTTCTTCTGCCTTATTTCCTTTTTGTCTTTTCAAAATTATATCTGATGTGGCAGTTGATACTGTTTTGCAGCCAGTGAAGTGGCATAATATACAGAGCCCCCTTTCAAGACTAGAACTCCCTATAGTGTGTCCTCAATAAGCTCTGTTTCTCTTAACAAATAGTGGTTGTTCTGAAGATATGATATTGGGAAGTAATATTCTATGTCATCCTTCACCTTCACAATTACCGTATTTTC